CATAGAAAATGTCTCGCCAAAACAAACAAGTTATATAAGACCTGAAAAAAGGAACTAAGCCTGTTACATAACACAAAAGCATGATATAGGGTTTCACGTTGAAAACAAAAAAAACATTCATGACTATTACCTGGATTTATAATTGAAACAAACGCATTCACAGCTATGGCACCATGCAAGATTCTCCATTGCATATCCCCCACTTTTTTTGGTAAGGGGGGTTTATACAGAGCTCTCCACTCTGGTTTAGCATTCTCTTTTAAAGGGAGAACAGAACGCCATGGAGTATCAACCTTATCATTCAGTGACTTCCTATTTAGCAATTTCACACAACTATTATAAACATTTTTTCCAAACTCAGAATTGGTTCCCATTAAAAACAACACATTATTTTGCAAAAAAACACCTTCACACTCCTTAAAATCAGTTGATAAATATAAATCAGGAAAAGGATCATTGCAATTTGGGATGATTAAACCATCAGCATAATTTTCCAACATGTTAGCTTCTTCAGGGGTAAAAAAGGATTTCCACTTTTCAAGTAACTTTGCTACTATTCGTTTGGACCTTATACCCAAACGATTCGCAACAGCTTCAACATTCCTAAAAGCAGGGCCAGCCAGTTTAAAAAAGTGTCCAACAGTTACAACTCCCGCATTCAGAAGAATCTCGTTAACAGAAGGAAGAATCCCCTCATTCGATAAGTCCATTCGAGATCCAAAAATCAAAGGTTCTTGGAGCAACCAAAATAAAGATGATGCAGTGCCATGCCTCTGTACTTTAAATAGAGACCAAACTTTAAACATGTTCCGATAAAAAATGGGCAATTTAGACCAGTCCATCTTTTGTGGGTCAGTCCAAAATAAAGATTTCTCAAGGTCCAAATTTCTAAACCCTCGCAAAATAGCGCATGCAGCAATTTTCCAACTAGAGTCCACCGGACCAGTCAGAAGTCTTTGAATGAACTGAATCCTGAAAGCTGCAACTCTGCTCTGGATATGCATTAAATGATGTCCTCCTTCTTCTTTCGGTAAGTTCAAAATAGCTTTTTGTACCCAATGCATCTTGTCCCAAAAAAAGTCTATCAAAAGTGACTGCAATTTTATTAATAAGTCACTTGGAGGGTCCACACAAATTAATCGATGCCACAGAGCAGAAGCGATTAAATTGTTTATGATCAACACTCGTCCTTTATAGGAAATTTTAGAAAGTAAAAATTTCCATCTTTCAAGTCGACCTCTGACTTTTTCAATAATGTCTTCAAAATTTTTCTGCATGATCAGTTCGTCTCCCAAAAACACTCCCAAATACTTAAAACCTTGCTTAGTCCAAGTTAGTCCTTCTGGGAGTTTTGGCTCTGCGTTGTGCCAATTTCCAACTAATAAGGCTTCGCTTTTTGACCAATTGATTTTTGTGGCAGATATCTTTTTGAAATCATTCATTAATTCCAGTAACAAGGTAACATCAATCTGCCCATTAATTAACACAACAATATCATCAGCATATGCAGACACTTTAAAACAATTTGTACAACTTGGTAGAGATAACCCACTTAATTTTGCTCTTATTTTAATTAGCAGAGGCTCTATAGCTAAAGTATACAACATACCCGATAAGGCACATCCTTGTCTAATGCCCCTAAAAACTTTAAAAGGGGCACATAAATTCCCGTTAAATTTCAAGACACTTTCCACATCGTTATATAAAGCTTTTTCTTGATCAAGAGAAAGAAGGCCAAAATTCAAATTAAAAATTTTTCCAATATCTAAAATGTCTCTGATAAAAGAGATATTATCAAATATTCGCCTTCCTGGAACACAATATGACTGGTCCGGATGAATGATATGGCTAAGGACATCACTTAGCCTGTTAGCTAAAACTTTAGAGAGTAATTTATAGTCAGTACATAACAGGCTAACAGGCCTCCAATTTTTAGTATCATTAAGATCACCTTTCTTGGGTAGTAAAGTAAGCACTGCCCTTCTACAACTTAAAGGTAATTGTCCATATGCCAAACTTTCATTTATAACTTGCAATAAGTCCAAACCGACTTCTTTCCAGAAAGTCTTATAAAATTCGGCTGGTAAGCCGTCAATACCAGGGACTTTATTACATTCCATACTCTGAAGTGCTTTTTGTAATTCTTCTAGTGTAACAGCCTTCTTTAACTCAACATTAAAATCTTGAGGAACTTGGGGCAAATTGTTAAAAAAAATCACTTGTATCTGATTCATCAGAAAAGATCTCACTTTTATAAAGGTCTTGATAAAAATTAACTGCCCTTTTTCTTATTTCAGAAGTTTCTGACAGCAAAATTCCGGTCTCAGAGAGCAGGTTATATATAAATCTTTTTTGCCCATTCTTTCTTTCTAGATTAAAGAAAAATTTGGATGGTGCATCTATCGACTCAATATTCTGAAATCTTGACCTGACAAGAGCTCCTTAAGCAGTCAAGTCAAGTAAATTGTTTAGAGAATTCTTTTTTTTCTTTAAAATTCCTTATAAAACCTAAGTCTCCTGAAGCATCTGCTTTTTCTTGCATGGCTTTTATTTCATTCTCTAATACTTCAATTGTACTTTTCCTGTCCTTTGTAACATTAATGGTGTATTGCTGGCACAACTGTTTGACTTGTGTTTTTGCAAAATCCCACCACTGTTGTATGGAGCAAAAAACTCCAAAACTCCTTGAAAATATCTTGAAATGTACAGTCACTTAGTAAATTAGTATTTAAATGCCAGTAAGCACTTTTTGGCCTAAAATGGCCCGTAGTAACAGAACATTTTACTAAGCTATGATCGGAGAAGCCAACAGGAGAAATAACACATTCTTTAAATAAATTAAGTTGGTGCCTATATCCATAAAATCTGTCTAACCTGGCTAAAGATAATAAATTATCATAAGTGTGTACCCAAGTATACTGTCTTTGATAAGAATTAAAATTCTTCCATATATCAGTAATATCATTAAAATGTATCAACTGTATAAGCCTTCTTTGTGATGGCATATGGGGTTCTACATGATTTCTATCTAAAGAACTCTCAGTGCAATTAAAATCCCCTCCTAAAATTAAAACATCTTCAGTATTGCAATTTGCCAAAACATTACTTAAAGTTTCTAAAAAACACATTCTTTCTATGGCTCTGGTGGGAACATATACAGAAATAAAAACAAAAACAGAATTCTCAAATTGAGCTCTTATTTTTAATAATCTACCATTTATAATTTCTTCCACTTGATAAGAGCACGGAATAAAATTCTTAGAAAATAAAACAGCAACACCACCACTTACAGAGCTTAAATGACTTAGTATAGGTAGTCCATTATATTCTCTGGCCCAATCACAAGCATTCAGGGCATCACTGTGGGTTTCTTGAACAAATAAGACATAAATTTTTTTCTCCTTAATCATTTCAAAAAGATAAAAATGCTTTTTTCCCTCCCTAGCTCCATTTATATTTAAGGAAGCGATGTTTAATTCCCCCATAGCTAAGAAAAGCCAAAAGCAAAGCAAGTTCCACAAACAAAATACTGCATAAAGGTGCCGACTAGTTCTCATTACTAGCACTGGACTCCATCTCTTCATTTATCTTGCCAATAAATTTCCTTAGACGAAACACTTCCTGCTTATTGAAGCATCCTTCGTTTCTATAAATCCTCACTTTGTCAATGAATTGTCTCACGTCAGGAAAATACTGTTCAATACGAATATTTCTCGCATTCTTGGTGTCTTTAAGAAAAGTTTTAATTTCGTGTGCAGTATAGTTCTTGCTAGAATAGCCACTCAACGGTAAACTGAAACTGACGCTACATTCTGAGAAATCACTTTCGCTTTCCGTGTCTGTTTGACCCGGTTCATCACCAGCACCTCTCTTAGCTCGCTCATTTAAAGGACACTGTTCCCACCTACGTTTCTGAGGTGTTTTAAATAAATTGTCATCCAACTCTGCTATCGCACCTTCCCGCTGAGCAAACAATTCACTCACCACAGATTCCGCAGCGGTTGAAACGTTCTCAACTTCATTCATTTCATCACCCGTGACAATCATATCCTCTTCGTCCACAGCTCTATCCACTGATTCCCCTTCTTCAATATTCCCAGGCTCAGTCAAAACAGCAGCTATCTGACCTGAGCTTGGTCCAGGTGCTTCCTCTTCTACGACCTGCGCCGCAGCGGTCTGATTTTCCTGACGCGCGTCACTCTCATCAGTCGCAACCGGTAAAGGTTTATTGATTTATTTATTGATTTATTGTCCACCTTATTGGGACATCCGCGAATTAAATGCCCGTAACCGCCACAGTTAAAACACTTAACGTTATTTGTTGTGGCGAAAATAACATAATTAAAGTCCTCATGTCGGAAATTTAGGGACAAGTCAAGTTCATCAAGATGTTCTTGCAAAACCATGTACACGTACCGTCTAAATGACACAACATGTTTTAGAAGCGGCGATTTAGTTCAGATCGGGATCATTTTAATAGGTGAAACTATTTTCCCATAACGCTTAAGTAAGTTTGTCAACACTTTGTTAGGGATAAAAGGTGGCACATTCGACAACGTTACTTTTTTTGAGGGTGTAGACAAAGGAAGCACCGGTGTAAAAATACCGTTAATCACTATTCCATTTTGAACTAACAAATTAGCTAGATCAACAGTTTTCACAAAAACAACAACAGCGCCATTCATTCGGGAAGCTGATAAAATATTATCATGCCCGACTTCTTCCCCCACTGCTAAACCACATTCTTCAATACTAGCAGTTGAGTCTATTTTCACTCCGTGACGTCTTGTCAATTCATTAAAACTTCCACTGCCTGGGGTAGCCATACTCTCAACAGGTGAGAGCAGGGATTCCCCGGCTCAAATCAACACTCACTTCTCTAATCCAAAAGCATAAAATAATATTTACTAACAATGCAAAGAAACAAAACAAACTATAATTAACGCTAACAAAAAAAGGAAAGCAGCAGTTAAAGATAGAGAAGTATAGACCACTCGTACCTCATACGGCAGCCACACGCTCTCGCCCACACACTCAGTCCACTCAACCAGCGCATGCGCACAGAGAGAGAGAGAGTGCGCTAGTGTGAGAGACTGTTTGTGTGTGAGAGAGTGTGTGTGTGTGTGTGTGTGTGTGTGTGTGCGTGCGTGCGTGTGTGTGTGTGGTCCTACATTTGCGCGGTCCTGCTGTAATCCTCGTGTGTCCTCCATGATCCAGACTGTAAACACACACAGATGGAGAGAATGAGCTGTTTAGTTTCCCCCTCAGCTAATAGGCTAAAGCTAGCACTGAGCTGCTCAGCTACACGCTCCAAACTCTTGAGCTAAAACACAAAACACTTGTTGGTTGAGCCGGGATGCACAATGAATGTAACACAGTGCGTTCTTTTCCTCTGCTGTTGGTGAAGCGAGCGCAGATACTGCTCATGTTGATGGAGACACCCTGCTGCAACATTCATTTATTACAGTGATCACACTTAGCTTTGCCATCGTTCTTCAGCACATGCAGCCTTTGAGCACATGTTGCAGTCCATCTCTAAACTATGTTCAGATTATTAAAGCTGCTCGCCAGCGCCCAAGTTCCTGACAGATTAGCAAGTGAAAAATACACAAGTGTGCACAGAGAAGAGGAATCCAGATGTTGATTTTAGAACAAGAGTCTGAACATTAATCCAAGTTCCAGAATCTGAATCCATCTTCAATCCCCAACCCTATTCCTGACCTGATATTGTAGGACTCTTCAGCAGAAATGGAGGAAGAAGTTTCTCTGCTCAGCTCAAATGCTGAAACTGTACAGTGTGTCCCGCTTAATGTCACTGTAACTGAGCCAATACACTCCAACATTTACAGAGGAGATTCATTTCACACTCAATGATTTGCTCTTCATAGACATGACTGGAATACTCTACAAGCTGTATCTTCTGTCTGTCCTCACCCCATAACCCTCACAGAAAACTGAAGCTGATCACAAAAGAGCTTTCTAGTGTCTTTTTAAAGCCATTCAGTGTAAAAGCACAAGGCCAGTGCTGCTCCACATACTTGAGTTTGTCCAGTGTGTAGTTTGGATCCTCCAGTTGTTCAGAGAGCAGCTTGACTCCTGAATCTCCTGGATGATTGTAGCTCAGATCCAGCTCTCTCAGGTGTGAGGGGTTTGAAGTCAGAGCTGAAGACAGAAAACCACAGCCTTCCTCTGTCACCATACAGCCAGACAATCTACAAACACAGCAATAGTCCACATCACACAGTTGGACAATCACACATCTCTTTGTGTTGTGAAGATGCTGACTGCTGTTTCTGCTCATGTCAACAGCAGTGATGAACACACACATCCTGATTAGCTCTCCTTATTGATCGAGCCCTTACATCAGCAAACACACTCAACAAGGACTCGACATCATCTGTAGAAGTGTACAGAGCAAAGACATTGTTCATAATACACCACATCAAGCTGTAAAGTCTGCTGTGAGGAGGAAGAAGACACACTTGATCATCTTAAAGTCATATATTAAGTGCTGCTATTCAATGATCCTCCACTTAGTTGGATTGTTTTTGTCATGTGAGGGACATTCTACAATACTGATTCAGGATTATTTGTAATGATCAATAATGATGAGTAAAGTAACACTGTAGGATCATATAAGGGTATTAAAGGTTCCCATTCTTAAACGCATTACTTATTGAAGAATCCACTGAATAAATGCAGGATAATAAACCAACAGATCATTTTCAGCAGATCACAAACATCTGTGGACATTTATAAAGTTAAAGTGAAGTTACATCTGAAATTTCACTTTCACATTTACACTTCAGCAGAGAATGAAGAGAATAGCAAACCTGTAAACCCAGCTGAGCAGTTTTCATCTAGTGTCAGAGATCATACACACCTTTTACAGTGTTGATGTGTGTAAAATCATCAATGACAATGAGTGATCGTCCTCTTTACACTCTTTTGAGCTGTTAATTCTGGAATAGTTTGTGCACATCAATAATGCATCATCTTAATTTGATTTTTGTTTTATATTTTTAAACATTATAAGTGTGATTTGTAGATGATCAACACCTTGATGCAGGATTGAATGTATGACTGCAAGACATTTACTCAAATGTTACAGAGGTCTGAAATGTGTAATCAGGTGTAGAGCTGGGTGATGTCAGACAATATTTATTAATAATCGCCTTTAAAAACATCTTAATATCTGATTATCTTGTCTCTCCTCTCACATCTGTCATGGGACATGCCCACACACACACACACACACACACACACACACACACACACACACACACACACACACACACAGAGACACACAGAGACACAAGATCTCTGAAGAGGAATAACTGGAGAAGAAAGAAGCGCTGGTGAACTCCTCTGAATGACCAAAACACCTAGGCGGGACAGAGCAACAGACCGATGCTGAGCTGCTTATCTTGGAGGATGCCCAGCACAAACTCAATGCAGCTTCACATTCTCGTCCAGTCCTACACTGTAAAAAATTGCTGTTAAAAAACGGTCAGATTCTACGGTAAAATAATGTTTTTTCACTAAAACAGTAATATTCTGTTAAAAACAGTGCTTTCTGGGTAACATTTTTGTTTTTCCATTGAGATCCAACAGAAATTAAGGTGTTTTTTGTGTCACCGTAATGGAGTGAGGGGCTGGTTTAGTTGGGCTCTTCACCCTTGAACTTATTAATTCAGACTCTCCAATTACTATAATAAAGAGTTAACAAAATGCTTGTATTATAGCAATCAAGTTGGAAAGTCAATAAATAGAGAAATCTGTTTGTCTGAAATTAGTTCTGATAAGTGTTTTGTTATAAATCTGGAAGAAGGGCCTCATGCAATAGATTTTATGCATAATTGCAGGTATTAATTTAATTAATGAGAAGTGGAAACAGAAAAGATACCTCCGTAATTACTTAACAGTTAATAAATAACATAAAAACCCAGTTCAGTTATGACAAATACACACTCAGACCTCATGAATCTGACCTTGTATCTCAACAATGGTAACATCTCAAATGTTTCATGCTGCAATGCATGCTGGGAGTGGCACGGTACAAATATCCCAGCATGCATTGCGGTATAAATAAATGTTGTATAATGGTCTAACAATTTTCTTTATTTGTGTTTGATTCTGCTGTTGTTTATGTTTAGACTTTCAGTTGCCTGTTTGTGAGTTAAACTGTTAATTTTGTTAGTTGTCACCATTATTGATGTCTCCTTTGAGTGCAATTTACACCATAGAGCAGTGTTATTGTCCAAGATATTCTGAAAAACTTCCAGAAATCATTGCCATATATAGACATATAATGTAAAACAATAGATTTAACATTGAATAGGAGCAGTACATTTTATTATACTAAATGAGAACAGACTCTGCCATTTAATAGCAACATGAACATCACCAGATCTTATTTAGGTTTTTGGCTGGCTTGTCACAACAAAGGAGCTTTTTAAACAAAGTTCTTAACAATTGCAGCAGCCAAAATATATAAATGTTAAAAATAACAGGGCTAAGAGCCCAACTAAAGCAAACTCTGTTCTCCATGATGGTGACGTAAAACTTTAACTTTTTCTCAAGAAGAACTTTAGTAGATGTTATACAAAAATACATGTATTAAGTAATAAGTGTAGCTGGTGATGATGTTTGTAGAGTTGTTTAATCATCCGCTGATCATTTAAATGATTTAATCATTTGTTGACCTTCAGGTTATTTCATTATAAAGCTGTGACTAAAGTTTTGTATGTTCTGTTCTTGTTTTTACCCTTCAGTATTTCTTCATTTGTTCATTGTTAATCCTCAATTATCATTTAATTAGTCAGTTAATTATTGAATTTACTTCAGCTTTGCTCCATGTTTCTTGAACACTCAGTAGTGTGGACACTTCAATAAAAACTGAAGTATATGCTCTGGGGTTTAAAGGGTTAAAGGTGTGAGAGTTAAAAACACAGTGTAAAAATGTATTTTCAAGAGTTCACACTTAGATATTGCTTGACAGCTGTAAGCAGGTTTGGCATGCTGTCCCGGGAGAGAACCCTGAGCTCGGAGATAGTTGAGCCCAGGGCTCCCGCCAGGTCCATAGAGCATGTGAGGGGAGTACGAGATCAGGTGGTTCTCGAGAGCTCCCCAAATGCATGAAGCTCGGGACAGCAGCCGTGTATTCGAAGAAACTCCCCAAAAGGCTTGAAATGCTATATCCAGCTGCTGGATATAGTTATTTGAAAAAGAAAAGGTAAAGAGGGCTCCTTTGGAGCAAAGGGTGAAACAGGTTCCTGCGGGAACCCGAGCAGAGTTGGCTTGGGCTGTGAATACTCCTGCTGGAGTAGAGATTAGGGGAGACCCCTGCGGGGGTCAGAGCCATGGGGTGGGCATATATATATATATATATATATATATATATATATATATATATATATATATATATATATATATATATATATATATATATATATATATATTTACATATATATAAATACATTTAAAAAATAAAAGATAAATGTGAGAAATAAACAAAAATAAACATAAATAAAAGCTAGGGCCGGGGAGGGTCGGTGACATGACTCGTGTCACAGCTCGGGGTTGGGTGAGCTATTTAGCTGGCTCCAGTAGGAGTCGGGAAAGATGAGGGGGAGGTGAAGACTCTTACTGGAGGGTGACGGGCGGTATAGGTGCTCTGGGGGTGTTCCTGCGGGAACAGAGCGTGAGGGTGACAGCACTATATATAAATTCATATTTATATGCGTGGGTGCATATAGATATAAATTTATATAAATAAAATCAAACAGAGAGAAAAATAAATAGTGCTATACTATATGTCTTTATGGACAAGGGGGCCTGGGCAGGGAGAGAACTCCTGCTGGAGTTAGGTGAGTGAAAAGGGGGAGAAGGCTGAGTGCAAATCAGCTGGAAGGAAGAAAGGAAGCTAGATGGCTGGGTCATGCCCGCCCCCTTGGGAGATTGGGTAGTTCCTCTTCTCTCGGGAAGCTGGTATGGTTGGGTCGTATTCTCTCCCTGGACTAGGCCCATGCCCTTGGCCGCTGGGATT